GCCCCCTCCGGCTCTGTCGCCCTCCCCTCATTCCCTGACGGCTCCCCACGTTTTCCACGTCCACCCGTGTGTCCGTCCGGCTCCCTTCGTGTCTGTCTGGGGGGGTCCGGCGGTCGGCCCGGCCCAGTGGCTCTCTGTTATCAGGGGCCAAATTGACGGCGTCGGCCGCCGCCGGGCTGTCCGGGGACCGCGACGGCCGGCCCGGGGACAAGCAGCGGCTCGGCGAGGATGGAATGAGGAGCAGCCTGTCCGCCCACAGCGAGCCCGGAGCTGGAAAGGCGGCACGGGGCCGCTGGCACACGGTGCAGAGCCACTTGGCCGCAGGGAAGCTCAGCCTGTCCAAGTGAGTGAGCACGGCACGGTCCGGCACGGCACGGCCGCAGCCACAGCCGGCTGGGCGGGCCCGGCCGCCCGCTCCCCGCTGCGGATGCGCTGGGATGGGGGCCACCGACAGGTCCCCGGGGCCGCCAGCAGGTCCCCAGGACCACCGTGCCGAGGGAGAGGAGGCGTTTCCCGTTCTCCCAGCGGTATTTTGGCTCAGGGGCAGCAGAGGAGGCAGCCGGGCGGGAGCAGCGCCTTTTGGTGCTGTCGCCAGTGCTGAGGGCTGCCCTGCCCGATCCCGGTGGGAAGCGGCTCAGCAGTCCCGGCTCGGCTTCTCAGGGCAGGCAGCGTCACCTCGGTGGTGTCCCAAAGGCAGGAGGTGCTGTCCCATGCTCCCATCGCTCAGGGACAATCAGGGACAGGGTGTGGCATCTTCCCTCCGTGCGCTCCCTTGGCCCCCGGCACAGCCACCGGACCCGGCGCCGGCACCACCACCTGATGCCGAGAAAAGTTGGGGAAATTCCGATCAGATTTGGGGAAAATCCGAGCTCTGCCAGGCTCTGCGGGGCTCCAGGCCGGGTGGGGGTCTCGGCGAGACCTTTCACTGCTGGCAGCGCCGTAGCTCCGGCGGGGGATGACGGCGGTGTGCCGGCTGTGGGCTCTGCCCGGCGCTCCCGGTCTCTGCTCCGGTTCTCCGCGCTGGGATGTGCCAGCCGGGGGGGTCCCGGCAGCAGCGCCGGCGCTCCGGGACAGCTCGGTGACACCGCCCGTTCGGCGTGAGGCCGCTGCGCTCCAGTCGGGCACTGGGAAGCAGGAGGGAGAGGCGAGGAAAAGCGGGAGCGGCGCAGCCTTCAGCCGTTCCCCCGCTGGGAGTCCGGACAGACGGATGGGATGGAGCAAGGCGGCAAGGGCAGGGTTACGGGGACGTGGCGGAGCGCCCTGTTTCACCCGGTTTTCCAGCATCCTCCTGGCGCAGCGCCGCCGGGATTGGAGTGTCCCGGGGGTCCAGGCCGAGGTCTGGCTGTGCCGGTGCCAGGGATCCATCCGGGCACGGGCAGGGCGCGGTGCCGCCTGGCACGGCGCTGGAGGAGCTCGCGCCTCCAGCTGGCGCGGGGCCGACAGGAGCCAGATTTAGTTTCCTGTGACTGAGAGGTTGTAAATTGAACTAATTTAGGATTCGATAGGAAAACGAAAGGAGGTCGGCGGCAGTGCGGAGTGGGGGGGCGGCAGCGTCCGGGCAGTGCCTTCGGTCCCGACTGTGGGGCTCCGTCCATCCTAGCTCTCCGCTCCTCTCCACTCCCTTCACTCCTCTCTCTCTTTCTCCCACCTTTCGCTCTTTCTTCACCTCCTTTTTTTTTTTTTTGGTTTTTTTTTTTGAGCTGTCTATCCCTCCCTGCTCCTTCTCTGTCCCCGCTGCTGGCATTGCACGATGGCACAGCTTCGCCCCGCGCTCCCAGCCGGCAGCGCCGAGACGGGAACAGGGTCGGGGGCTGCTGCTCAAGGCCACTCCTCGGTGCCAGGCGGTGGTCCCGGGAGGAATTTCCTCCCCTGATCTCGTGGCCACGAGCTTCCCAGGCTGCCGTGGGCAATCCGGCGCGGCTGCATGGGCTGTGCCACGCATGTGCTGCATGGCCAGCGCCGCTTCCTTGGGGCATCCCGCTGCTCTCTCCGCTCCGCCGCCCACACGAAGCCCGTCCGCCCCGGGCCGGGCTGCTCCACTCTCCGTGTCCCACCAGAGCTGCGTCCGTATCCCCCCAATCCCATGATCTCCCACCCCGGTTGGAGCCTGGCTTGGCCCTGGGGTCGCCTCGCTGGAATGTCACCACCACGGGGGTTCGGCCCCCGCCGCGGCGCTGCGGGGTTCCCCCCTTCCCGCAGCGTCCAGCACGGAGGGGATGGGACGCCGAGCCCCCGCGGCGCCGCTGCTGGGTGCTGGGCTGGACTGGGAGGGACTGGGGCGCTGGGATGGGCTGGCTGGCAGCACGTCAGCGGGCGCCAGGGGATTTGCCTCACGCAGCAGCCTAATTATCCCGCAGAGCAGGTCGGCCGGCGTGCTGGGCAGGCGCTGGCGGAGCGGCGGCCGCGGGAGCGGGTGGGCATCCGGCCCCGGCGAGCCCCCGGGAGGCAGGATGGTGGCGGCCCGAGCCCCCCGTGCCGCCGGCAGGGCCGAGCCGCGGGCGAGAGGCGGAGGATCCGGGCGCTGCCCCCGCTGGCTCCCGCCGGAGCGCTCCCTGCGCTGGGGCATCTTCTCTCTAACTCTCTTCTTTTCCTTCCTCCAATTTTGCCCCTTCACCTTCTTCTCCTTTCTCTCCTCTCCTCTACCCTTCCTCTCCCTAAGTTTCGAGGACTCCACCCTGTCCACAGCCACTACCCTTGAGTATATCCCCACCTCAGCAGGCGATCCCAAATTCCAGAGGCCCCGCACGCTCGTGCGCCAGCAAAGTCTGCAGCAGCCCCTGAGCCAGCACCAGCGCGCCAACCACAGCCAGCCCACCACCAGCCAGAGCCTGGGCCACCTCCAGGCCCACAGCGGCTCCTCCGCCGCCGCCGCCAATTCCCGGGGCTCCCGCGGCGGCCCGGCGCGCCAGGGCACCGCCGCCGGCTCCAAGCAACGGATGGCCGGGGGCAGGAGCCGCTCCAACCCCGGCAGCTGGGACCACGTGGTGGGGCAAATCCGCAACCGCGGCTTGGACATGAAGTCCTTCTTGTAAGTGTGCGTTCGCCATCACTGCCCTCTGCATTCTCCTCTCCACCCCCCTCCATTCCTCCCTCCGTCCCTTCCCCTCCTTTGCTCTCTCTGCACCCATCACTCTCCATCACCCTCTCATGTGCTCTATCCTTCTGCTCCTTTGCTCTCTCCACCCCTCTCTCCATCGCTCTCCTCCGCTCCCTTGCTCTCTCCATTCCCTCTCCATTCCCCTCTGCTCTGTTCTATCCCTCTGCTCATCCCTCTCTAGAAGCTCCTCTCCATTCATCTCTCCTCTGCTCCTTCCTTCTGCTCATTCCTCTCTCCATCCCTCTCTCCTCTGCTCCTTTACATGCCCCGGTGCAGCCGCTCATCTGTCACCCCCCTGGGGACAGGTTGCCCATGGCCTGCAGGAAGGTCCGTGTCCCCCCGGCTCACGGGGGGCTCAGGGAAGGGGCTCATGCACTTCCCCAATGTGCTTTGCCACGGCCCTGGCCATCCCCTTCCACCCCCAGGGACGGCCACCAGCGAGGTCCCCAGGGAGTGACTGTCCCAAGCTGTCACAGTGAGGATGGCAGAGTCTCCCATATCGGGGTGACCGTGAGTTGGGTCCCGATATAATTTCCAGCCAGAGGAGCTGCGGGATCTTTAATCCGCCTTAACCCCATCTCCTCCGTCAGCGCTGGGTTTGCAGCATCAAACCCCGGGGACTAATCCGAGTCCCGTGTTGTCACCGTATCTCGGCACATGACATTGTCCCTCCTCTGCAGAGCCGGGCCCCCCGGCTTCATCTTCCCTTGGATTCTCCAGCTCCTCCCTGGCCGCTGTTTGCCCCCTGGCACTCTGGAAAAAGGAATGCTGAGGTCCCAGCTTTGCTTTCTGCAGCCTGGTGACACTTGGAGAGGGATGCAGGACTGACCCTTCCCCTCCATGAGTTGATGCAGCACTTCTTGCACCAGGATTAGATGACACACACAAATTTGGGTGCCCATCCCACCCCCTCCTGCTCTGGTGAGAGGGTTGAACCTTCCTCCAGGCACCCTGGTGCACTGCCCACAATCCCCTCTCCGCTCTACCCTCTCCCAGGTCTCTCCCAGCTCCATTTCCCAGCTTCCCAGTGTGGAGCTGCGGCTCACCAGCCATCCCGAGGGTCACGTTCTCCCTGTTTACCCAGCGCCGGGGCTGGTTCCAGCCTGACTTGGCGGAGAGGGAGCAGCCGCAGAGCCCAGACGTGCCGAGTCAGCGCCGCTTCCCAGCGGAGGAGCTGCTGTCATTTCCCACCGCCTTTTTCCCCATCCATCGATTTTTCTTTCACTCTTTCACCCTGTTCACCCTCCCCGGCGCCGCGGCGTAAACGCAGTTACAGACCCGGGCAGGACCCGGAGAGGGCGAATAGCCTGGCCATGGCACCGCCAACCCCTTCCTCCGTGGAATGATGCTGGCACCTCACTGCTGTCACGCTCTCCCTCATTCCCAGCCCCTCCAGGCATCTTTCCCCCCCTTAATCAGGATTTTGGCATCCTCCCTGCCCGGACCGGTGGAGGAGAGGGACAGCGCGGGTATCCACGCCTGGCGGGCTCCCTGGAGCCGGCGCCTTTCTCCCCGCAGCCCCGTGCGCCCATTCCGGCCGCCGTCACCTCGCAGGAGCCGGCGGGGACAGCCGGGGTCCCCTCGCCGCCGGGGGTCCGCGGGACGCCGCCGGCTCCTGCCGGTTCCCCGCCTGACGCTGTGTTCTCCTCTCTCTTTCTCTCTTTCTCCCGCTGCCGGCGGGGCCGCCCGGGCAGGGAAGGCCGGATGGTGGTGCTATCCCTGGTTTTGGGACTCTCAGAGCAAGATGACTTTGCCAATATTCCCGACCTGCAACCCGCTGGGACGCAGCCGAACCAGGCGAACGCTCAGGGGGACAAGAGGTATGAGCGAGGACGAGGCCAGTCCCGCAGGAGGAGGAGACGAGGGCCTCACCCAGGGTGGAGGAGGAGGAGGAGGAGGAGGCTGGCCTCGTGGAGCGCGAAGGTTGGAGCGGCACAGGGTGGCCCCAGCGGGCACCGGGACGTCTGAGCTCTCCCCGGCAGCGGCACCCGCGGTTCTGCCTCTGGAGCAGCGGCACCGAGAGGACCCCCATCCCTTCCTCCTCCCTCCTCCCTCCCCTCCTGCCCCTTCCGGCCCTGGCTGCATGCGGGGAGGGGGGGCGGGGGGACACGCTCAGGGACAGGGGGACACGGGGGGTACCCCCCAAGTGATGCCGCATGGGCTGAGCCGCGTTCCATCCCGACACGCTGCTGCCGCCTCCATCCCGGCGGGATGGGCAGCTCCCCTGGGGATCCGGGGACACCGCTGCGGTGGCAGGGGGGCAGAGCGAGCGCCACAGGCCGGGAGGATGTGGTACCCCCCGTTCTCCAGCGCGGCACAGCCCCTCGCCTCCGGCTGCTCCCCGCATTCCCGGCGCGCCGCAGGCTCGGCAGCGCATCCAGCCCGGGCACCGGCGCCCGGCCGCGGCCACCGGCGCTGGCTGGCAGAGGCAGAGGGTCCGTGCGCCGCCGGGAGCGGGTGTTCATCCCCTCCGGAGAGGGGAGGAGGTGTGAAGCAAGCCGGCGGGCGCTGCCTCCCCGTGTGCTCGGCGTGCGGATGAACTGGCACCGTTCTCGCCCGCCGGCTATTTTTACCCTGCTCCGCTTGGTTTCGCTCCATCTTTTTAGCACTTCCCTCCCTGGCGTCGCGCTGCGCAGCCGGTCCCCGCCGGGAGCACCGGCAGCCCGTGCCGGCCGCCGGCTGCCCCGTGCCGCGGGGACGGGGACGTGGGACACGGCGGGTGGGTGGCTGTGCCTCAAGACCCCGCTGCCCGCTTGCCTCAGCTCCCTGCTCCGAAACCCCATCCCAGCACATGCATGGCATTCCCCACCTCCATCCCTCCCGCTCCTCGTCCCCTGGACTCCGCAGGACGTGGCGGGATCAGCCGGCGGAGGGGCCGCGCTCCGGCAGCCTCGGCTCTCTCCCGGCCCCCGACGCTGCCGACCACCCGCTCTTCTTCCTCAAAACATCTCCTCCATCCCTCTTTCGCAGCTTCTTCCTTCCAGCCTGTCCCCGGCGGCTCCAGCCCGGCTCCTCGGCGTGTCTCCTGTCCCGGCGACTCCGTCTGTCCGTCCACCCGCCCCGCTCCTCTCTCCCATTCCCTCCCGGCAGGCCGGCGCTGGACGACGCTGCTCCTCCTTTCTTTTGCTCTCTCCCGCTCTCTTTCCCGCTATCCGTGACCTCCGCCGGTATTCCCGGCTCCACCGGCGCCTTCTCGCTCAGCGGCCCCACCGCCGGCTCCTCCACCTTCATTTTCCCTGGTTTTAACCTAATTTTGCCTCCCCAGCTTTCTCGGCCTCTCTGGTCCTTTCTGGGTGCCATCCCGTGTGTGCGTGTGGGTGTCCCCATCGCCCTACCATGTCCCCTCCCCGTGTGTCTGCGTGTGCTTGGCGTGGTGGCGTGTGTCCGTGGCATGTTGTGGCTTCCCGTGTGTCCCTGCACCTCTCGGTCCATCTGGTGGTTTGTCACCATGTCCCAGCTCGGACAGGAGCTGTGGCAGGAGGGTGGGAGCATCCCAGGCTGCCTGTCCCCTCCGCCACGTGCCTGTGTCCCGTTGTCCCCGTGCCTCGTGGCAGTGTGGCCTCGGTGCATTCCCGCCTGCCTCCATCGCTGCTCTGTCCGTCTGCCTCCCACCGCTCCCGGCTGCCCACCCTGCCCGGCACAGTGCCCGGGAGCCACCGTGTGTGGGGACAGCCAGGACAGCGATCCCAGGGGTGTCTCAGGCACAGGAAGTGGGGCAGGGGACAGCGAGCCCATGTGGAGCACTCCGGTGCCCACTCGGATAAGAGGATGTTGGTGTGTGAGGAGCAGCCAGAGCCGCGGGTGATGTGGGGACCATGCTGTCCCTGCCATCGCCGTGGGATGTGGCCAGGGGGACCTGCTGCCGTGCCCTAAAGGTGCCAGGCCACCAGCTGGCTCTGGGATCAGGGCCGGGATGCTGGCGGGCTGCAGCCACCGCGTGTCCCGGCGGCGTCCGTCAGGCGCTGGCACAGCCCAGGCTCAGTCTCCGCTGGCAGAGGGCGCCCGGGAAGCCCCTCGCTGTCTCGCCCTCGGCTCCCGGCCCCTCTCCTCCAAGGCCTTTCTTCCTGCAGGTTACCGGCCGGTGGGAAGGCTGGGAATGCGGCACCGGCACCGGGACAGCCGCCGCTCGATGAGTCCGACCGCAAGACGGAGCCGCACTCCTCCGTCTCCGACCTGGTCAACTCCCTGACCAGCGAGATGCTCATGGTGGGTGGGTGGGTGGGTTGTGCTGGGTTTGGGGGTCTCCACGCTCGGTATCCAACCCTCCCAGCTCTTCCCTGCGCCATCCGCAAGCGCTCCGGCACGTCCCTGCCCGTTGTGCCAAGTCCCCGTCGGCTGAGCCGACGCGCCGCGGACGAGTCCCCCAGGCTGGCACGAGGGAGCGAGCGGTGCTGGACACGTGAGGGATGCGCTGTCAGGAGGAATTTGGCTAATTGGAGCTCCCGTTCCGCGGGACGAGTGGCGCCGAGCCAGGAGACGTCGGAAGCGGTGGGGGCAGCAGGAAGCCGGGGAGAGGCTGATGTCCCCTGACAGCTGGCGGGGCTGGGGTCTGGGGGACGGGGGTCGGGTCCCTGCCAGTCCCCGTCTGTGCGCTCATCCCCTTCCTCTTCCCCCTCCCGCAGCTCTCCCCGGGCTCCGAGGATGACGAGGGCCATGAAGGCGTCAGCCGGGAGAACCTGGGCCGCATCCAGTTCAGCGTCGGCTACAACTTCCAGGAGTCCACCCTGACCGTGAAGATCATGAAGGCGCAGGAGCTGCCAGCCAAGGACTTCAGCGGCACCAGCGACCCCTTCGTCAAGATCTACCTGCTCCCCGACAAGAAGCACAAGCTGGAGACCAAGGTCAAGAGGAAGAACCTCAACCCACACTGGAATGAGACTTTCCTCTTCGAAGGTATGGATTGGGATGGGCTGGAGGGGATCAGGGTGGGAGCAGAGCCTCGTGGGAGCCTCCTGGGCTCAGCTCAGCTCAAGCCACCAGAATGGTGGCTGGTGGTGATGCGATGGGTTGGCCAAGCCACCGAGGCCAGGCTGGATGTGCATCCCATAAAGGGGATGTAGGGGAAGGTTTGGAAGGTTCTGTGCCCCCATGGGTGGGTGCAGATGTGGGAATTAATGTGGCAGCAGCTCCTTGTGCCGTGGGCTGATCCCCATCCTCTGCCTGGTGCCAGGGTCTTGCCACCAGGACAGGAAGGGTGGAGCAGTCCTGGAACTGCTCCTCATCTCCTTTGGTTTTTCCATCTCTGTCACAGGGTTCCCCTACGAGAAGGTGGTGCAGCGGGTGCTGTACCTCCAGGTCCTGGACTACGACCGCTTCAGCCGCAATGATCCCATTGGAGAGGTGTCCATCCCGCTCAACAAGGTGGACCTGACCCAGATGCAGACCTTCTGGAAGGACCTGAAGCCCTGCAGTGATGGCAGCGTAAGGCCCTGGACCCCCCCTTCCCCCTGGGGAGGGGAGGTGACTCCCTGTCCCTGCAGTGTCCCAAAAGGACCACACCCCATCCCAACAGGAACATTTTCTACTTCAACATCTGACAGAGATTTCTCTCTTCCCAAATTTTATATTAAGTAGCCCAAAGTCTCATTTTGGGTCAAATCAAACTGTTTCAGGTAGACCTAAAATGAAAGTTTTTTTCCTGCTCCTGCCTCCAGCAAGACCAGAAAATGTCCCACTGGGGGTGGCCCCATTTCCTCCTGCTCTGATTTTCTGTGCTTTCCCAAAGCCCACTCTTGGGCTGCTCTGGAGGGGGGTCCCATGCCAGCACCCTGCTCCCACAGAGGAGGTCTGGGGGCCATGGGTGTCCTCAGGGAACATGTGTGTCCCACAGGGAAGCCGCGGGGAGCTGCTGCTGTCGTTGTGCTACAATCCCTCAGCCAATTCTATCGTGGTGAACATCATCAAGGCACGGAACCTCAAAGCCATGGATATCGGGGGCACCTCAGGTACGGCACTGGCTGGCCCCGATCCCAGGCGGCATTCCCTGGCTCCTATCTGGGGCTGAGAACGGCTCCTCTCCCGCCAGATCCCTACGTGAAGGTGTGGCTGATGTACAAGGACAAGCGGGTGGAGAAGAAGAAGACGGTGGTGATGAAGAGGTGCCTGAACCCCGTCTTCAACGAGTCCTTCGCCTTCGACATCCCCACGGAGCGGCTGCGCGAGACCACCATTGTCATCACTGTCATGGACAAGGACAGGCTGAGCCGCAATGACGTTATCGGCAAGGTGGGTGACACGTCTGAGGGACACCCAGGTGGGAACTGGGGACAGCCAGGCCCAGGGCTGCCGGCGCCCGGTGCCATCTCCAGTGTGGAGTGTGGTGTGGGCCCCTTGCGTTGGGTGTCATGGCCATAGAGGGACGGAGCTCTCCCAGAAAGGCAGGGATGGAGGGATGGAACATGGGGAGCCACACAGGGATGGATCCCAGCCCCTGGGATTACTCCCGCAGAATTAGCCATTAAATCACCCAGCTCATCGTTAGCACAGTGATGACAAACCAGCGCCATAATCTCCGCCCATGATTCCCAAACGCCGCGCTGGGGTCGGGAAAACACAGCAGTTGGGATAAATCCATTAAATAAATCCCTGGATCATGGCCGCGGGCTGCCGGGCAGGGGCGGAGGTGGCGGCGTCCCCATTGTGGGCACATCCAAGAACTCAATTCCAGGGATGGACAGGCAGTGGCCATGATATCCCACTCTCCGTTAAAACCCCGCCCGCTGCCTGAGGCTCGCTAATCACTTTTGATCGCATAATTAGCAGCGAGCTCTGCTCCATCCCAGCTCTCCGGCGATGATCCGCGGAGCCGGCGCGGTGGCACCGGCTCCCCGAGGTGGCAGCAGCAGCAGCGAGAGCTGGCACACGCGCTTTTCCGCGGTGCCATATGGAAAATCGAGGGATAAAAATAGCCCAGATCCGTGCCGAGCCCGGAAAAGCGGGGCTGGAGCAGTTTGGGGGTGAAGGCATCAGCGCCGGGCAGCGGGATGGGGATGGAGAGGCCGTGGCGGCTCCAGGGATGCGTTTCCCGCAGATTTACCTGTCCTGGAAGAGCGGTCCCGGCGAGGTGAAGCACTGGAAGGACATGATCGCCCGCCCGCGGCAGGCGGTGGCACAGTGGCACCAGCTGAAGGCCTGAGCGCTCCCGGACCGCGGGCTCGGGGTCCCCTTCCCCAGCTCCCAACCCCTTCCCGTGGCGCTCCCGGCCAGGGACCGGCGGGACAGCGGCCTGGCTCGCGGGAACCCTGCGGCAGGACGGGGACGGAGCCCCCCGAGACCCCGGGGTCGCCTGTCCCTGGGGTGCGGGGGGTTGCGGAGCCGCCCCCAGCCCCGGCCGAGGAGGTGCCAGATGTCCCCCCATCCCTATTCCCACCACCGGGCAGGACTTCTGCGAGTGCTTCCAGCTCCGGAGCCCCTCGGCCCCTCCCCGGCCTCGCCCCCCCCCTCATTTCAGGAGGTCAGGCTGCGGGTGCAAGAGGGACCCTCCTCCCTCCCCTTTCAGCTCCATAGAACCTCCCGGAGCCGCCAGCGGAGCCACGGAGCCCCCCTGCCCCGCCTCCTCCCCCCGCGCCCCCCTCGAGTCACCCGGGGCGGGCGGGGGACACCGAGGGGAGGGGACAGCCCCTTTTCCTGGGATCGGAAGCCATGACACAGTTCCTTATCCAAAGCGGGCTCCTTCGTGCACTGCCTTCAGCCGGGTTCGATGCTTTACCTCCGTCTGGGGTTTCGGCGGGAGCGGGGGTCCCAAAGCCGCCCCGGGGACCCCGGTCCTGCCCTCCCCAGCCCAGCTCGGGCTGGAAGGGGCCCCTCGGGGGAATGCGGAGCTCCGCAGGGTCCCCTTCCAGCCGGGCTGACCCGGGCGCCGGGGCTGCTCCGGGAGCCCCGTGCCCACCCCTGGGGATAAAGGGTGGAGCGAGCGCTCTTGTCCCCATCGAGGACGGGTGACATTCCCTGGGCTGGTGGCATTCCTTGAGACAGCCAGCCTGGCAGGATCAGTGCCAGCAGCAGCATCCCCACGGAGCCCCGGGATGCACATGCCAGACCCCTTCCCACTCCTTGGGACCCCCAAAAACAGGGACAGACCCACCTGGGAGGCCCACAGGGGTGACAAGGGGGTCGGTGGTGGCTCTCTGTGGCAGACGCCGGATCATCCTCAGTCTTCCTGCTCCCCCCGTGGCAACCTTGGCTCCCAGCAGCTCCCACAGCCCCAATTTAGACGATTTTGGACAATCTGGAGAGAAGTCATAATACTGCTATTACAGTAATAACAACGCTTTTAGGGACATTTGTATTTTTGTCATATTCTCTCTTTTTTTTACATAAAAGAAGAGACTTACATGCCTGGGGAAGAGGTGGCAGAGCCAGGGCTGTGCCAAGCCGGGTGCCCCCCACGGCCCCTCGGGCACCCCGCTTTTCCAGGCTGGATTCCTCGTCCGCGGTCGGGCTCCCCGGGGGTTTGTGTGTTCATTTTTAACTCTAGAGCTCGTAGCCGTGATCTTGTTCAGGTTCTCTCTTCTTCATGTGACGGTAACATCCAACTGGTGTGTAAAAATAAAGAAAAACAGGACAAAAAAAATTTAAAAAAAGAAACAAAAAAAAAAGAAAAAAAGAAAAAAAAAAAGATGAAAAATCCAATAAAGAGCCCGGCCCAGCTGAGGAGCGGCTGGAGCAGGGGGTGCCCGGCTGGTGATGCCAGGGATGGGGCACACAGGTCGAGGCGTCTCCTTTGAAGAATCCTATTTTTGGGGAGTGGGGCCCCTCGTTTTCTGGAGGCAGCCCCTGCTCTCAGTAATAAAGGACAGTCAGTAACTGCCAGCATGAGTCATCTGTGGGATTGGGGGAATGCAGGGGGTGGATCCTGGGGTGAGAATGGGGGCACCACACATGGGTGAGCACCACAGTTGAGTTGGGTGGGCATCCCCCCGGCACTGAGCATCCCCCTCACAGCTCCAAGCATCCCCCCTCAGCGTTATCACTCCCAACCCTGAGCATTTCCACAGTATTATCCAATCCACCACTGAGTATCCCCCCAAAACTCTGGGATCCTGCTGGGATTGGGATCCCCATGGAGGCTTCAGAAACAACAGTGACCCCTGCAGCCTCCTTGGAGCCAAGTGATCTCCCATCCCATCCAGGTCTGGGCTGAGTTCCTTGGCACGGGATAGGGACTGGAATGTGGCTCCAAAGGGAAGGAAGAGGCAGGGAACCATATTCTGTGTCCTGGTGCCATGGAAAAGGCACTGATGGCTGTTAAATAATTCACAGAATGCTGGTCTTGAATAAATAAATGAAACTTCAGACAGAGGGATGGCAGGAGGGCCATCCGTGTCCTCCCTGCCCAGGATAAGATCCCTCTGGATCCACCCTTCAGGCCCCGGGGTGCAGTGTTGGAGGTGGCAGCAGGGGACAACACTGTCCCCTTGCCACCTACACCCTGGTGGAGAGGAGGTGGCTGCTGCCTATCCCCGCTCCACCTCCAGCTGAGCCAAACCTGGGGAATTTTGGCATTCCCAAGCTGCCGATGGCATTGGTGCCACCAATCCTGGCTCTGCCTGGGCTCTTACACCAACACCGGGCTCCTTTCATCCTCCCAGATCCTTGAAAGCGCAGCGAGCCCGGCGCTCCTGTTGCACGGATCCGCAGCGATTCCCAGTCCCGTTGCCTTGTGCTGGCAGGCAGCGGGAGCAGATGGAAATAGCAGCGTGATCCCAGCTGCGGAGAGGCCACAAACCGTCGCACGCGGGGCCGGGAGAGGAGGCAGGGATATATATATAGGGACAGACGTATGGATGATGCACTGCCGGCAGCGGGGACTCGCCGGTGCCAGCGGCCCCAAAATACTCGAGCGGAGCCGGAATCTGTCAGATTCCCACTGACTGCGGCAGCTCCTGGTCCTGGTGTCACCACCATCGTCACCGGTGCCTGGATCCCAACCCAGCTCCTTGGGAAAAGCTGGGCGGTGAGAAAAGGCTGCAGAGAGGGAGGATCCCCCCTTATCCCATGTGTCAGAGCTCCTGGATCTGGTCCTGGCCATGGGGACAGGCTGGTGGCATCCAAAGCCACCTGCATCACAATTCCTGCCGAACGAGTGGGCTGGCATGGAGCTGGTGGCATCAGATCTTGCCTACATCAGGAGTTTGGAATGCTGAGGGTCTCTGCCAGGGTCAGCACCCTCAGGATCATGGATGATTCCTTGCTAATTGGCAGCAGTGTCTTCCCAGATAAAGCAGCAGCACCCTGGATCGATGGCATGAAGGGGTGGGAGACACCCAGAATTCCAGGAGCATGTTCCTGGGATGTCGTGGGATCCTGGATTGCTCTGCCCTACAGTGATGGGTACCTGAGTGGGCAAAGGGATCAACAACCTGTACCTATTGAGAAGACCTGATTCAAAGCTCCTGCTAAGCCCCAAATCCCTGAAATTACCCCGGAGGAGCTGGCACTGACAGCTCCTGCACATCCCGCAGCTGAGGAAGCTCCATGTGTCCAAAATAGCCGTGGTTCCTGCTGCGGAATAGGAAGCGGAGGGAAAAACCGGCAGCATCCGCCCTGCCAGTGCCGGAGCGGATGTGGCCGGAGTTCTGGCTGCCTCCCAGCCCCAAACCCAAATCCATGGCCTTTAAAAGCGGATGTGTGGTTTGAAACCTCCAATGAATGAGCTTCAGACCTCGGATCCCCAAGCTTTCCACCACACGGGCTCAGCTCGGGGATGGGCGGAGGGAATCAGGATTCCTTGGATGTCCAAAATAAGAGGAGCTGGTGGTTGCACACCAGGATATGTCACTTGGTTTTAGGGGATCCCAAATAAACCCTTCCCTGAGGCTGGTCCCCACCACTATTCTCTCACAACAAATTCCTCGGATTTGTGCTTTTTATTGCTTGTGTTTGGTCCAAGAGGCACTTGGAGAGAGGAAGAGGAAGGATAAGGTGTCAACCCTGGATCTGGTGTCTGTTTTGGGACAGACAGTGCCAGGGATGAGCCTCCTCTTCCCACAGAGGCAAAACCCTGTTCTGGTTGGAGACAGGCAGTGCTTCGACCCAGGTGGAATTTCCATTGGCTCCTTCCCAAACCTGATGGTCAGGAGGAACCTGGTGGAAAATCTCTCCCCCAGCCCAGTTCCAGCAGCAGGATGGGGTTCTCAGGGTCTGTGCCCTTGTTCCCAGACCTTGGAGCTCTCCAGGATGATGGGATCAATGGAATGGATGCAACCAGCAGTGCTTTTTCCTGTGCTGCCCATTGGGACAGGAGTAAAGGATTTTCAGAGGTGGAGGAGTAGAAATGTTCCCATTCTTGTGGGGTGGCAGTGGGGGATCACCCTTAAGGGTAGGGGGTTGTATCCCAATCCAAGACATCCTGGAGTAGGTGGGATGCTCTCAGGTGAGATAACCATTAGGATCGATGAGCCCTGTTGATCCAGGACAAAACACTGCTGCCCCAACTGGATAAGGCTGATCCTTAGACCCTTGGTTTTCCTTTGTGGAGGCTGTGAACTTCCTCCTTTCCCAGCCCTAGATGGGAATTCCTTGGAAGACAGATGGAGGCTCTGCACCCCTTGAGGGGGACAGCAGCTCACGTTTCCTCAGGAGATCCCGTCAGGGCTGCAAATTCCCCCTCCCCATCCTCCGGCCCATCCTCGGGAGATAGCGGGGCGGCCTCGGTGCCCTCCTCCTCCTCCTCCTGGCGCTGCAGGCTCTGCAGCCGCTCCTGCCGCGCTTCCATGTATTCCTGCGCCCCGTCCCCCACCAGCTGCACTTCATCCCCGACGCAGGGCGGCTGCCGGACGGGATTGTGGTCGTAGGACAGGAGGCGCAGGGAAGCGAGGCCGGTGAGGTCCGGGAAGCTGGCGATGCGGTTGCGATCCAGGTCGAGGACGCGGATGTGATCCATGCGCAGCAGCACGGGCGGGAACTCCTGGAAGCGGTTCCCGTAGAGCCAGAGCCCCCGCAGGCCGGCCATGCGGGGCAGCGCCGCGGGCAGCCGGCTCAGCCGGTTGTCCCCCAGCTGGAGGCTGCGCAGCTCCGGCAGCTGCAGGAGGGCGCGGGGGAAGTGCGCCAAGAAGTTTCCCTCGATCCAGAGGCAGCGCAGGCTCTGGAGCTGGGCGAAGGAGGGCGGCAGCCCCTGCAGCCCGTTGCGGCCCAGGTACAGGTGCGCCAGGTGGGGCAGGTCGCACACGGCCTCGGGCACCTCCATCAGCTCGTTGCCGTCCAGAGCGAGGGTCCGCAGGTGCTGCAGCTCCGCCAGCTCGTCCGGGACCTCCCGCAGCCCCGCGTCGCTCAGGTAGAGCTTCCGCAGCCCCTGCTGAGCCCACAGCTCGGCCGGGACCTGCCGGCCCCGCACCTCCAGCCGCTGCTCGACGCCGTCGGGGCCCTCGGCTGCCGCCAGCCGAGCCCCACGCCCCGCGGAGCCGCCGCTGCCCATCGCTCACCGGGACCGGCACCGGGACCGGCACCGGGACCTGCACCGGACCCGGCGGGGGGAGGGCGACGCCGTGGCCATGGCAACGCGCCGCGGCCAATGGGAGCCCGCGCCGCAGGGCGGAGGCCACGCCCCCTGCCCATTCATGCCCCGCCCCGCCGTTCGCGCCCGTTTAGGCCACGCCCCCTGCCCATTCACGCCCCGCCCCGCCGTTCGCGCCCATTTAGGCCACGCCCTCGGCCATTCATGCCCCGCCCCGCCGTTCGCTCCCGTTTAGGCCACGCCCCCTACCCAATCATGCCCCGCCCCGCCGTTCGCGCCCATTTAGGCCACGCCCACGGGGTCCATTCACGCCCCGCCCCGCCGTTCTCACGCCTACCCGGCCCCGTTCCTGTCCCGCTTGTCCCGGCTCTGTCCCCAAACCAGGCAGAATTCCCTCGCACCCCAGCATTCCCAGCCCCTCTTCCAGCAGCTTGGCATCAGCGCCCTCAGCCTGAGCTGGGTGTGAGGCTCTAAACTGAGTGTGGGGTCCCTGGGCTGGGTGGGAATCCACAGCTCCCTGAGCTGTGTGTGGATGCCTTGACGGGGTGGGGGTCCTTGAACTGGTGTAGAATCCCTCTGTGATTCCTCAGATCCCCTGGGACCCTGCCGGGAGCCACTCCTTAGGGCACAGATCCCCTTCCCCATGGCCAGGGAAGATATGGATGAAGCCTCTCCAAGTGCCCCCCGTGCCATGGCTGCCCACCCTGCGGGGTCCTTCATCCTCCTCATCCTCCTGCTTCCCACCATAGTCCTGCCTGGATTTTCCTGCCGCAAATCAGCTGTGTCATCCCAAAGCCGGCTGGGAAAGCTGGAAAGCCGAGCTCCTACAGCCCTCCAGCGGCAGCTGGCCAGGTGACAGCCCCCAACCACCCAAACCCCTCCTGCCAGCTTTTGGGATGCAGGAAACCCCCAAAATGGGCGAACAATTCAATGGCATTGCACAGGGTCTTTATTCCTCCTAGGGAGATTTGGGAAAAGCCGAGGATGGGACTCCCAGGATGCAGCAGCACTTTTGCAGGGGGTCACGTCAGGGGGTCATCGATGCGCCACAGGTTGGTGGGCTGGTTGTTGGTGCTGAAGCCACTGGGACTTGGGATCTGGATGCCCTCCACGGATCTCGGGGCCCAGGTGATTGGAGGCTGTGCCCACCAGCCTGGAAAATCCAGGAGGGATTGGTGAAGGGGGTGTCCACTCCTCCTGGGGGCTGTGATCTCCCCCCCGACTCACCTGGTGCTACGGGGGCCAGCGGCGAGAGATTGGTCAGGTACTGGTTGTGGACAGTGCTGTATGCCAACGGCTCCTGAGGGATGCAGCGGGTTGGGAGCGTGATTCCTTGGGAAAAGGGATGGGGACAGGGGACATGGCTGCACCCACCTTCCAGGTAGTGACTCCCTTGGGTCCCACTTGCAGCTCCGGCGGGGCGAAGGGGGCGGGATGGCCCATGGCAGGCTGGGGCTGTGTGGGAACACAGGGATGATCCTGCTCATTCCCGTGCCCAGGCAGCTGCCTCAGAGCCCACTGGGAGCAGTGGGAGCACCAGGACAGGACGTCCCCTGCCCTTGCCACCCTCTCCCTTTGCTTACAATGCTGCATTTGGCAGGAACGGAATCCATCCGACCATCACCAACATCAAGCTGTGGGAGAGGAAAAGTGTCCCCTGGGGTGCTGAGGGGTGGGGGGACAGGGGACATGATGGGCACGGGGCTCACGGGCTGCTCTGGCATGGTGAGGCCGCTCCTCTGGGTGGTCCCGGTGCAGCCCGACAGCTCCGTCGCCCTTGGTGGGACATCTGTGGGGAGCAGATGGAGCAGGGATGTCCCCTGTGTCCCCAGGCCTGGCATTACCTGGATACACCTGTCCCACTGTGTTTGGGGGGGAGCAGGGAGTCTCCAACACTCCCCAAACCTCCTGAGGTCTGACCTGACTCCAGGAACACTGACACCCCAAAATCCCTCGAGCTGGCTGTGGCTCTAGCACCATCAATAATCCCAAAACATTCCTGATGTTGGAGCTGGACCCGGAACCCTCAGGGCCCCAAATCCTCCTGTGGTTGGAGGTTTCCTAGGAATCCTAACACCCCAAAATCTTCATAAAGACAGAGCTTTCTCTGGGATCACCAAGACCCCAGAATCTCCTGGGAATGGAGCTTTCACCAGGATCTCAACACCCCAAAACCCTCCTACTAAAGCTGGAGCTTTCCCTGGGATTCCCAAGACCCCAGAATCATACCTGGCTTGGCAGGACTGGCACAGTGACTCTGGATGCCATATTCCCCAGATCTTTTTGGGGCTCTCACCTCCCCGAAACGGAGGCGGGAAAAGGAGAAGTCAGTGGGACACCTACACCCTGGCTCATGCACATGCTCAGGCAACATCCTTTGGTATTCCGGGCGCCCGAAGACCTTGAAGTCCTCGGAGGTGGTGGACACGTCCGTGTCCTGGCTGCGGTGGGAATGGCTGTGATGGAGTGATCCCAAAACAAGCCCCCCAGACTCCTGCAGCAGGGACCTACCGCTCCACGTGCGGGGAGATCAGGGGTCCCAGTGCCGAGTAGTTGTTGGTGACGTATCCCGAGCCGGTGTGGATGCCGAGGAGGGGGTGCATGCTCCTGTCACCGGGGGGCTCAATCCCCAAAACACGCCCCTTCTCCAACTTTTGGGGCGACCCCGTGGGCCTCTTCCCGAAGGCCACCTCGTAGGAGGTGATGTAGAAGCCCATGAGCTCGGAGGGGGGGCCCCTCACCATGGGGAACCCCGTCCCCAACCCCGCGGCGGGCGAGTCCTGCGGCAGGGACGGCATCCTGGCTCTGGGAATGGACCCCTGGAGCTGGGAATGGCCCTACGCCATGGCTGGAGGTGTCTGGAGGTGCAGGGCCCTCCCAGCAGACCCGGAAGCTGTGGAATGTGCCCGTGGAATGCACTCTATCTCCCGGTAACCGTCGCGGGGACCTCCCGGGAGGTTGTCACTGGAGGGCAGGAGGTCGGACAACCTCCTGGGTGTCCTGGAGGGCACCAGGAATGTCCCACTCCAGCTCCACTATGGCCCCCGCACGGGGGTGGGCTCACCCCCAGGGGGTCCTGGGAAAAGGGGCAGGTGGGAACTGGGAGTATCAATGAGGTGGCATGTGCCAGGATCGACCTGGGAATGTCCCCGAGGGCCTGACCCCAATGTCACAAAGCAGGAGAGGGGCAGGGCCAGCAGCCAGGCAAAGCCGGTAGCCAGGGCTTTATTCAGCATTCCACGAGTGTCCAAAGGCTGCTGGGAGAGGAGGAAAATCTCAGGGAAGGTGGAAACGCCATTCCAGAGCCCCATGTCCCTGCGCTACTCCAGGGAACGGGGACAGAGGCATCCCCTCCCTCAGCGTGGTGGCTCAAACAGGTATTCTAGGTCCGGCTGCCGGAGCCTCTGCTCCCTGTTCCTGTTTTTGGCAAATTCCCTCAGCATGGCCATCACATCGGTGTCGAACTCCGTTGGCGTGGGCTTCGCTTCTGGAGGGAAAACAGGGAAGAATCAGCCGTGTGCTGTCCCACGGCGCCATGCCGGTGTCCCGGGGCGTGGCCACACGTACCAGTGGCCCAGTAATAAATGTCCCAGTCGTTACTGGGCTCGTTGATGAGGCGGTCGTAGCGGTTCAGCTGCTCCTCGCTCATGCGCGCCAGGTTTTCCTTGGCAAAGAGGCTGGAGAGGGGTGGATCAGGGTGAGCGGGAGATGAAGGAAGAGCTGGGATATAAGAACCAGCTCAATGTGAACCTGGAAAACACAGACCCCCAGCCCGCTCTCCCTCACCTCAGCGGGTGGGAAAACACCGTCAGAGGAGCTGTGGAATCTCCACCCCTTGAATCCCCTTATCCAGCCTGCTCTGGTGGAAGGTGTCCCTGCCCACGGCAGGGGGTGAAACTGGATGATCCTTAAGTCCCTTCCATCCCGAACCATTCCAGGAATCCATGGGCTTGTTCACATGAGATATTGGGAAGAGATTCTTTCCTTGAGAGGGTGGCGAGGCCCTGGAATGGACTTCCCAGAGAATCTGTGGCTACCTGGAAGTGTGTTGCCTACCCTGCAAGTGTCCAAGCCACGTTGGACAGGGCTTGAAGAAACCAGGAATAGTGTAAGGTGTCCTTGAGGTCCTTTCCCACTCAAATAATTCCAGAATTCCACAATTCTATGTGTCTAATCTCTCCTTCAATCCCAAAATCCAACTGACATTGCATTCACATGTCCCACAATTTACATACATCCTTCCCAAAGGACTTTGGCTCACTGAGCTCTCCCAGCTCTACTCCATCATTGCATCCTGGATCAGCAAGACCTTGGAGCAATTTATCCCAAGGATTTTTGCAGTACCTCCATGAACTCTGCCTTGTTAATGAAAGGACCTGGAATACTCAGAGCCAAGCCCACCTGAGCAAGATGCAGTTTTCCAGCATGCCCCTTTTCCTGCTCTCATACAGCAGCCGGGCTCTCTTGGTGTCCAGTGGCTCGTCCAGACGCTCCTGCCAGGGGGGCAGCGGGATCTCCAGCACATCCTTCCCGGAATCCGTGGGGGAATCCCCCCGGTAGCCGCGCTGCGGGATCAGCGGCCACAGGAGATGCCGGCGCAGGGAGCAGAGCTGGAGGGAAAGCACAGGGATATCAGGACTGGGTGTGCCTGCACACAGGGACCTCTCCAAATCCTACTGGACACGATTCCCAATCCCACACCCCCAAACCCCGCTGCCCAGACCCCATAAATCCCCCAGACCTCCCTTTTCCCCCCAAATCCCCTTTTGTCTCCTCAGACTCTTCTCCTTTTTTCTCCCCTCTTCCCACAATACGCTAATTTTCCTCCCGTCCTACCCTTCTCCCAAAGTCATCCCTTTCCCCTACTTTTCCTTTCCCCTCTCTCTCCTTTTCCCCCCTTTCCCTCCCTTTTCCCCTTTCCCCTTTCTTTTCCCCCTTTCCCAACGTTTTTCCCCTCTCCTTCCCCTTCTACCCCCTATTTACCCTTTTCCTCCCATTTTAACCTGCTTTTTCCGCTCTCCCTCCGTTCTCTCCCTTTGTACCCCTCTCCCTTCCCTCAGCCCTCCCAGCTTCCCCCCCTTCCCCCCCACCCTGGCCGCCGCCATCTTGCCGCGCGCCGCCGTGGCCACGCCCCCTCGCGGCTCTATGGGGCGGGGCGTGCCGGAAGTGGGCGTGGCCCCGCCCGGAAGTGGGCGCGGCGGCGCTGGCGGTGAGCGCGGGCGGCGCGCGCGGGGCTGGGATCGGGGGAGGGGGGGGCCCCGGGCGGGGGGCGCGACCTATCGCGACATATCGCGACCCGCCGCCCCCTCCCCTCACATCCCCCTGCCCACAAACCCCCCGGCCCGGGCCCCGCCGCTCCGCAGGGCCGCATATGGCGGGGACGGGGCGGCGCGAAAAGGGGGGGGGGGGCAGTGGGGGATCGTGGGGAGCACAGGGAATTTGGGGGGAATCGGGGATTTGGGGGGGAGACACGATATGCAGGGACAGAAGGATCTGAGGGAACACGGGGTTTGGAGGGAAATGGGATTTGGGGGGACACAGGGATTTAGGGGGAAGAGGGGATTTGAGAGGCAGGGCGGATTTAGGGGGTAGAAGGGATTTGGAGGGAAGACAGGATTTAGGGGGACACAGGGACTGGGGTGGGGAAATGGGATTTGGGGCACACGGGGATTTGGGGGGACGCCCCCAGCAGGTCCCCAAGGCCTCACTGACCCGCTGCCCCCCATCTCCCCAGAGCACCCTCCGTGTCCTGGCTCCGCCCGGTCCCAGCCCGGGCTCCCGCTTTTCCCGCCTCTGGAAATATGTCCGAGGGAGTGGATCTGATTGACATCTACGCCGACGAGGAGTTCACCCAGGTGAGGGCTGGGATGGGGGGGAGATCCCCCCTTTCTTTTGGGAAGAGATCCCAGTGTCCTGCAGCTCATCCCAGTGGAAGATGCAACTGGTGTGGCTGGGAAAAGGGAAGGATCATTCCCGATCATTCCCAAGTCTCTGTGGTTGCCACCTCCAGCTGTGATTAAAGGGTTTCCCTGTGGCTTGTGACACGTGGCTGGTCACGGAATGTTTAGGATTTAAGAGCTTAGCTGTGTCCTGGTTGGAAAAATGAGAAATCCCAGCTGGAAGAGGCACTTCTAGGGAATTTCGCTGTGAGGGAATACCAGGAGCCAAATCCATGGGATCACCTAGGCTGGGAATCTGTGCAGGAGCTCGCTGTTCCTGTGCTGCTTGTCCCATCCCAGGAATATCTGGGATTCAGAGGAAATGATGAAGGAAAGGGGTGTTGGAGAAGCAGATTTTAGGGAGTTCATGGTTATGGGAAAGCAAGTGCAAAGGCAGATGTTGGAAAATTCAAAACTGCCATGGAAAGCTTGTGGAAGCAAGAGAAGTCATGGAAACTGGAAGCAAAGCACCCAGAAGAAGGAATCACCATGGAGAAAGGAATTCCTGTGAACTCCTGGAGTGATCAAGAGAAGCTTCTTCTGGTTATTGGGTGAGAATATCCCATGGAATCTCCTGTGAAGACCAAGTGGACAGAGGATCCTCAAGCTGGAATGATGATCCAGGCCAATGACTCTGGCATGTTCCTCCCTTTGGGATGTGTGGCAGGAGAACACCTGGAATTAATCCATGCCAGGATCAAAGCAGCAGGGAAGTACTGTGGTGTCCCTGGGGCACTCCAGAGATGCCAGTGTAATTCCAAATCCCACATTCCCACGTGGTGATTCCCACTAACAGTGCCCAGCTTCATCCCTGTGCACCTCAACTCAGTGTGCATGGATGGGGATCAGGAGAATCCCTAAAATCTCCCAAGCTGCATCCCATAAAAGTAGCAGAACTGAGGGATTCCAAGGGATTCTTTCTCTAGCCCCTCCTTCATATTTTTGGTCTTGACTTTCTGAAACTTCCAGGTGGGAATCTTCCAGCCTTGGGCTGTGTCCAAAGGCTTCTGGTGGAGGTGGGAGCGTGGGAGTTGGATTAACCAAACACTTGAGCTTCTCTGGGAAACGAACACAAAACTACAGCTCCCTTTTCAAGTCATTCTTTTATCAGCTCCAGGGAAAGAACTGGATGCAAAAGTTCAGGGAGAGGAAAAATGGTTGGATGTTTGGATTCCCGGGCTTCCACTATCCTTGGAAAGCTGCGTGCTGAGCATCCTTCTCTGTCCAGCTCCCAAGAGGATGTTTGCAATTCCCTGACCCTCAGACTGTCTCCAGCAAAAAATATTGTCCAAACTGCCTGGAATTGAAAATCTGGGAGCAGAACCTCTGGTTTTTATGGCACACCAGCTCCTGTGGGATGGATCCTCATGGAGTGATTTTGTGGGATGAAACATTTGGCACAATCTGAACAAGGAACTGGGATCCATAGTAAACACAGCACTTGCTGGACAATCCAAACAGTGGGAATTGGGAGGCAGATCTAGGACACGCTGGAATTCCGAGCTCTGAAACTTCCTGAGTTCCTCTGCCAAAGGGACAGATCCAATTTGTGGGAGTTCCTACCCTAAAAAGGGCTTTTTTCCCAAAAATAAGGAAGTTTGGGGGGCTGGGCATAGTTTGAGGGGGTTATGCAATTCCCACGTTGGAGTTTTGGGAAGAATGTGTTGCCAAGGAGTGATAGGCTCAGCCCTGGAGGACATTTGGTTTTCCACCACTGAATTCTTGCCTTCCAAATTGGGAATTTCTTCCTGGTGGCAGCAATAGGGTCTTGTCCTGTTGTGTGGGATCCAAGCGGGCTGGTCTTTGGAATGTGCTGGAGCTCAGTGGGGGTTTAGATGAGATACTGGGAAGAATTTCTTCCCTGTGACGATGGTGAGACCCTGGAATAGATTTCCCAGGGAAACTGTGGCTGCTCCATCCCTGGAAGTGATCCAGGCCAGGTTGGACAGGGCTTGGAGCAACCTGGGATAGTGGAAGGTGTCCCATGGCAGGGAGTGGGATGGGATGATCCTTAAGGTTCTTATTCCAAACCCAACAATTCTAACCCCAAATTCTGTTTTCATGATTCCATGAAAACAGACATGAAAACAGAAGCATCATCCTGTTTTTTGGGATTGTCCAGGCAAGGGATGGCTGTAATTCCCAAGCGTGCACAGACCCAAACCAAGTGATTTGGGCCTTAAACCTTTGGACTCAGCTTGGAAATTCCACTTGGGAATTGGAACAGCAGGTTTGGAAAGAGCAAAGAAGGCTTCCCAAGCCCTTCCCAAGCCAGGATCTCATGACGTTTTCCCAGCAGGACCCGGAGTTCAGTAATGCTGACCAGATGGATCTCTACGACGACGTGTTAGCAGCCAGCTCTCAGCCCCAGGAAAAGCGTTCCAGCAGCTCGGAAGCACCTCCGGAGATCCGTCAGGAGCCGTCTCCCAAGCCCAACAGCAAACCCCCAGCCATCCTGTACACCTACAGCGGGCTCCGGAACAAGAGGGCTGCAGTCTACATCGGGAGCTTCTCCTGGGTGAGTTCATCGTCCTGAGAAATTTGGGATTCCTGGTGAACCTCTGAGGGGCTGCTGGGCTCTCTAGGGAAGTGGCAGGGATTTTGAAGGGCCTGCTCCTCCTCAGTTTCAGCTGGTCTCCCGAGCTGGGCTTGGCTTTGTGATCCTCAGGGAAAAGGAATTTGTATCCCTGAGGAGCTTCTGGGCTGGGGTATGTGCTGATGTGCCTTTGAAGCTGTGACTTTGGGCTGCTGCTCCTGAGTCACCTTCTTCTGTTCAGGGATGCAGGAATGTTTTTGGGAAGGCTCTGTCTTGTCCAGAGAACTTGTTGCTGTTATCCATTCCCAAAGCTTGTTCCGGATGATTTTAAGGTCCCTGAGGAAGTCTGGGGGTGACATTCATCAGGTGGGTGGGGGATACTGGGGACAGACATGGATACCAGCCTGTTCCCTATGCCCTCAGTGGACTACTGACCAGCAGCTGATCCAGACCATCCGCTCCGTTGGAGTCTACGACGTGGTGGAGCTGAAATTCGCGGAGAACCGAGCCAATGGCCAATCCAAGGGGTAAGAGCCAGTGGAATTTCAGGTGGGAATGGCAGGAGCCAGGTCCTCATTGCCATATCCGTTGTTTTGTGGAGGGTGAGAGAGCAGCTGGTGCTTCTCTGGCCTGGCACAGGGAATTCATGGAGCATCCCAAAAAGCATGGAAAAGTGAGGAGGGGGTGTGGAACAGCAGGATGGGATCAGAAGGAGGGTCTGGGGGGTATCTCTGCAGCAGGTTCAAGGCTCAACCTCCCTCTCTCCCACGCAGGTACGCGGAGGTGGTGGTCGCCTCCGAGAACTCAGTCCATAAACTCCTGGAGCTGCTTCCCGGAAAGATCCTGAACGGAGACAAGGTGGAGGTGAGGCTGGCGACCCGGCAGAACCTGTCGCAGTTCGAGGCTCAGGCTCGCAAACGTGAGTGCGGCGCCGGTGAGGTGGGTGGGGGGTTCCATCTCACACACATCCCAAATTCCCCCCCGGATCAGCTGCCAGGCCCAGCCCAGCGAGCCCTCGGGATGGGGGGAGACCCTGCCAGGAGCGTCTGGGGGTTGTTTTTCCTATTCCTGAGCCGGATTAGCTCCTGACCCGAGTCTTTATGATCCCCTTTTAGGTGCTCCCACACTGCGAAGATCCCTCGTAGCCTCCTCCTCCTCCTCTCCAAACTGAATGGGCTTAAGCTCTTCAGGCTCTCAGCATAGCTAAGACCCTCCATATCTATTAGTAGCTCCTCTCTGGATCTGCTCCAGAATTTTTCCATCCCTGCGGAGGTAAGGTGCCCAACACTGGAGGAATATTCCAGCTGGGGCCTGGCCGTGGGCGTACCTCAATGGCAATAGGTGGTCCTGGCCTCACTCCGCAGCGATGCGACGGGATCCGCAGGGATTGTCCTGGCAGGAGCGTGTCCGAGGAGGTCTTGGCCAGCTCTGGTCATTGTAGATCCCTTGGCATGTTTTGTGCAAGGAAAACTCCCCCTTCCCAGCAGAGTTGCTTCGCTCCTTTCCTTTGGCTTAGGTGCCCGAGGGGATCGGCTGCTTGGTGCTTAGGCTGTGTCCCAACTTGCCCTGCAGTTTTGGTGGAGCAGGGAGTGTTCTCTGGGCCGAGTTCCGGCTGCCCCCAGGGGAGAATGGAGCTCCTGTGCACCCTTTGGCACCGCTGGGAGCCGTGGCTCCTGTCACACCCCTTCTTGTCTCATCCTCAAAGCCTCTTTGGATAGAACAAGGCTTCTTCACCCTCTTGGAATGCTGAGTTTTCCTTCCTCTAGCAGCAGCTCCGTTGCTGTCAGCACTTGGGTTCTGTCCCCTCGTGCTCCTCCATGCTTGGACCTCTCCAAATCCATGTGTGGATCTCAGGCTCTCCGGGTCTTTGGATATCTTTGGGGATTTCTCACCATTCCTTGTGGCTTTTGGCTCCTGTCCCTGTGACCTGCCTGTCCCCAGGGCACTGTGTGGGGTCTTGCTGGAAAGCTGGGCTCCTCTTGGAAAAACACATGGAAGTGGAGGCTATGCGTGGCCGGCTGGATCTCTCTCTGGGCACCTCCAGCCCTCCAGGGGTGGGAGGAAGAGGAGGAGCAGGAGGTCTCGGAGACCCGGACACCCTCCAGCTGCACCTCACAGGCCTTTCCCCGTGCCACTTCCAGGTGTGCCGCCGCGGGCCCACTCCCGGGATTCCGTGGATGCGGTGGATGGCCGGGCGACGCCGACAGAGAACGCGCTGCCCCCTGCCCGCATGGAGAAGCCTCCCTCGGTCCTGCCCTTCTTCAGCCGCCCCCCCGCGCTGCCCCTCATGGGGCTACCTCCCCCTCCCATGCCCCCTCCGCCTCCCCTGTCCTCTGCTTTCGGAGTCCCTCCTCCTCCTCCTGGAATTCCCTACCAGCACCTGCTGCCGCCGCCGCCCCGGCTGCCCCCACCCCTGGCCGTGCCCCCGCCAGGGGCTGTGCCCCCTGCCCTGCACCTCAATCCCGCCTTCTTCCCACCACCCACCGCCGCCCTGGGACCCCCTCCGGACACCTACGGCAAGGCCATGGCTCCCTACAACCACAGCAGGTGAGCTGGGTGGGAATGGGGTTGGGATGCTCGGGGAGGATCCCGCTGAACCCCTGTTCCCGCTGTGCCGACAGCCGGGAGCTGGGCCCGCCGATCCCAGCCGTGAGCGAAGGCGAGTTTGAGGAGATCATGAACCGCAACCGCGCCATCTCCAGCAGCGCCATTTCCAAGGCGGTGTCCGGCGCCAGCGCAGGTACTTCCCGTGTCCCTCCTGTCCCCCATCCTGGGATGGATTCCCACTCCTGACCCCCTGCTCCGCTCCCCCAGGGGATTACAGCAATGCCATCGAGACTCTGCTCACAGCCATCGCTGTCATCAAGCAGTCACGCGTGGCCAGCGACGAGCGGTGCCGCGTCCTCCTCTCTTCCCTCAAGGATTGCCTGCATGGAATTGAGGCCAAATCCTACAGCAGCAGCTCCAGCAGCAGCTCCAGGTATCCCCCTGGATCCAGAGGACGGGATCCTCCCTGCAGGTGAGTGACTAAAAAAATCACTCCTTGGGTTTTGTCTCCTCTTTTCCCGAAGGAAAAGACACCGATCTCGGGAGCGCTCTCCCAGCCGGTCCCGCGAGAGCAGCCGGCGGCACCGGGATCTGCTCCACGGCGACGATCGGCACGAGGATTATTTCCAGGAGCGGAGCCGGGAGCATGAGCGGCATCGGGACAGGGACAGAGACAGGGACCGGCACCACTGAGACAGGTGGGAAGCTCAGGAATCCCCTTGAAGTGTGAAGGATGAGGGAAAGGCACTCCCACCATTCGTCTCATCTCTCCCAGCAGGAATTTGCAGGAAGTGGTTTTTAATGGACTCATATCTCCTCACCTCGACCAGGATGCCGTGCCCGAGGCTGCTCCGCCCCATCCCGGTCCCTTCCTCGCCACCGCAGCCCCCTCTAGGCGGGACCCCCGCCCACACCTCGTGGCCTTGGGAATCCCCCCCACCACTGCTGCTGCTTCCTGGGGCCATCCCACTCTGCTCCGTGGATACTCGGACCCAAAGAGAAATGGTGCTTTTATTCCATGGAGGGAGGTTTGTGAGCCCTTCCCAGTCCGGGGGGGAACGGAGGAGACGGAGCCCTCCCTGTGCAGCTTGGGGGCTTAGAGATGCACAGCTCCCGATCCTGGGATCAGGAGCCATGTGCCATCCTCTGGATTGTCTGGGGACACTCCCGTCCCCATCACCCTGGTGGGACACTGTGCCACGCTCCTTCTTTGCCCCTTCACCCTCCAGGAGCTGGGAAAAAGGGGCTGGAGGTGGGTTGGGGGTCATCCTGTCTATCCCGACATTCCCCACAGCAGCATTCCCACCCAAATGGCAGCTCCGGCCTCTCCCGCAGAGCCTTCCTTGTTTTAGAGGAAGCGGAAGAGGCAGGGCAGGCTGTGACCCCCTTGTGTCCCCTCAGAATCCCAAGAAGGAGAGGGAGGGAGAGCCCAGGAGGGTCGGGATGAGCCAGGACACACTGGGTGATTTTCAGGGCTGGAATCACACTCGGATGGGAAAACCCAGGCCCTGGAAGTCTTTTTAAGTTGAAATAACCCAAATCCAGGAGAAACCACCCCAATTTTCCCAAGCCCCACGAGGTGGGAGCACTCGGCGGGAGAGCTCCGGGTTTTTTTTTACTTACCGCCACAGATTTTTAGTTTCTTTCCAAATAGTGGAGAGGGGGGAAAAGATTCCCCCCCAAATTGCAGAGCAAATCCCTGGAAGCCCCGGCGAGGCGCCGCCCCTCCTGCTCGCAGTGATTAGATTTGTCTTTGGATAGGTTGGAATTGTGTAATAAACTCAGATGACGTTGTCAGTCTTTTATACAGTGCTCCTGTTGCCTTCCTACAGTGGGATTTGGGATAATGAGAGAATGGGAGGGATTTGGGGAGGTCTGTGCACCCGTTGTCCCTCACCCTCTTCCTCCTCCAATGGGCTCCTGTGCTTCCCAAACTGGCTCTGAGGTGCTGGAAGCACCTGAGCATTCCCAGGCAACGAGTAAAAATAAATATTTATTGGAAAATAGTGAATTATTCTGGAAGGTCGTAGAAAAAAAAAAAGGATTCTTCATACCTTGAGCTGGCTCAAGCTCTGAGGAGTCCAAGTGGAGTGGAGAGTGGGAAAGGTGGGAAGGATAGGCCCAGGGGAGAGTGAGTGAAGTGGGAAGTGGGAAAAGGGAGGAATGAATCCATGTGGCAGCAGGTCCCTGGTGAAGTGGGAAGTAGGAAAAATGGGAGGGATGTGTCCAGGAGGCACCAGATGAAATGGTCAGTGGGAAGGGTGGGATCATCCCCATTCCCGGGGCTGGGAAGTGGAGCTGGCACGGGTGATGCTTCCCTGTGTCCCTGGGCCGTGTCCTCAGTAGGGATCCGTGCTGTGGAAAAGACAGAGACAGGGATGTGTGGGTCCCAAACCAACCTGGCAGCTGCTGCGCCAGCTCCCCCAGTTCCCAGCATGCGGCACCTGGAGAAGGAGAGCAGTGCCAGGAAGCCCAGAAGCAGCTCCAGGCCGTAGAAGAGGAGCAGGATGGCGCTCAGGAACGCTTCTAGGCGCAGGGAATATGTCTGGAGCAGCAGGTAGTACACAGCCAGCACAGCCGCCGGCACTGTAAGCGCCAGGCTGAGGGACAGCGGCACCTTCCGCTGGCACAGGTTCCCCTTGGAGCCTGTGGAACACAGAGCTGGGATCAGAACATGGGAGGGTTTTGGGTGGGGAATTAAATGTCCCGTTCCCGTGGGCAGGAACACCTTCCTCTAGCCCAGGCTGCTGCATGCCCCATTCCAACCTGAACCTCCAGGGATGTCTTCGGGGGTGTCCCAGGACCCTGCACTCCCTGTGGAGCCTCTGGCATTCAGGGGCACTCACCGAAGAAGATGCGTGTGGCCTCAATGCCGAGGTAGAGGAGGAGCAGCACCACGTCCAGCACCAAGTTGTAGACGGGATAGGGCAGGAGCAGCACTGCCGGAAAAGCACCGCCCTCAGCATCGCATTCCTGCCCACCCCGGCGGGATGGGGAACAGCTCTGGAGCGAAGCACTCACCTTTGTACACGAACACGAACGCTTCCAGGAGAAAATACGTGGCGCAGTACCAGCCGTTGAGGAAGAGCAGGACCTGCAGCGGAGCCGAGGAGCGATGGCGGCCTGAGGGGACACGGGGCGGCCGTGAGGGGGGGGGGGAGAGCACGGGGCGGGCAGGGCAGCGCGGCCCCCGGAGCCCTGCAGCGCCTTGCCCGCCCCCTTAGCCCATTCCCAGCGCTGCTCCCAGCCCGAGCTCCTCCCGGTAGCCCCCGCTGCCCTCCGGTAGCTCCCGTTTCCCCCCCGGTCCCGCTCCCACCCCTGGGCGCCATCTTCCATCTCCATGGGGACGGCCGCCGCCGCGCTCGCCCGCGCGGGGGCGCTGCGGGCGGGGCCGCGGGGCGGGCGCGCGGGGCGGCGGGGCGGGCGCGCGGGGCCGCGGGGCGGGCGCGCGGGGCGGCGGGGCGGGCGCGCGGGGCGGGCGCGCGGGGCCGCGGGGCGGGCGCGCGGGGCGGCGGGGCGGGCGCGCGCGGCCGCTCGGTCCCCGCCGCTCCCGGCGGTGCGCGCGCCGCTCCCGCCGCACCGCTCCGTGGGCGGAGCGCCGCGCGGGTTCGCGTCCCCTCCCTCCTAAACCCGCCCGCTCGTATCCGCTGGGAGAAGAATCCCACACCGGAACACGGGAACGGCCCCGTTCGAACTCCGCCCGCCAAGCGCAGCGCCGAGCCGGGTTTCAATGAAAGGAGTGCAGCCGTGACACCGGGTGGGCGCACACACCCGGGAGCCTCCGGAAACCACATCCGATTTATTCCTTTAGGGTTTCCATTAACATTCCAGTGCCAACCAAGGCTGTGGCACGCACGGACGCCCCACAAGCGTCCCGCTGACTTCCAGAATCCCAAGGACTGCTCCCTAGAGAAAGGATGAGCCAGAAGTGACCCCGGCAGAGCCTGTGGAGTGCAAGGAGACTCCAGGGGATCCTGGGGATCCATCAGCCACGGAAGTGGGCAAATTCCTTGCGGAGCCAGAGTGAATCCTGGTAGAAGAGGGGGTCTCCCAGGTGCACAGCTGTCCGCTTGTAGAAGTAGCAGTAAAGCACGGCCGCTGCAGGGAATTTCAGGATGAGAGAGGGCCCCCAGCATCCCCAAAGGATGTGGGATCCCACCCTGATCCCTGGAGTCCTTACCCAGCCTCTGGAAAACGAACAGGGTCTGAAGGCCTTCAGTCCAGATGAAGCGGCTGGAGTCACGCCAGCGCAGGTTCTGAGGGGGTTGGAAAACTGGGAATAACCCCTGGAGCAGTTTTGTTGAGCCCTCCCAGACCCCTCACCCCATTCCAAAGGTTCTGAGCGGGATGGAGGGACATCAAGCTAGGAGTAACACCTGGAGAAGTTTGGGAATCCCCCTACTCTAAGGTTAAGCAGCTCAGGGGATTTAGGCATTGAGCCCGGACCTATTCCGGCTTCAGACTGCAGATCCCTGCAAATCCCTGAAAATCCCTTTCCTGGACGGCGTGGGCAGCGCTGGAGCAGCTGCTGTGGCTCCTGACCCCTCACAACATTCCCTGTGCTCCGGGTTAGCAGGATGGAGGGAACTTCAGGAAGTGTCCAGGGGATGGGAACTGCTCCGTTGGGAAGGAGCTAGGAAGGAGTTTATTCAGGAAAGAAAAGGGGAAGGTGCTGCCAGGACAGAGCCGGGAGCTGCAGGAAGGGAGTGGGCTGCCCCCAGGTATAGGGACTGATCCCAGAAAAACCAGGAGCTGCTAGCACAGGCTTTCTCTGGGGAAAGAGGATTTTCTGATGGGTCACAGCCCTTAGGGAATGAGCTGGGATGGGGCTGGGATTGGGCAGGACACTTCCAGCCTGATGCCAACCACAGTGTCATGGAATGGGACATCTTCCATGGGGCACCTTCCAGGGGGAGACCATGAGAAAGGACTGTGGGAAGCTGGGGGTCATGGAAAAATCCCTTGGGAGAATCCAGCAGCTGCGCCCACGCCACCCTACCATAATCCAGATGTGGAAGGAGATGCTGAGTGCCAGGTAGGCTGCGGAGAGCAGGATGGTTCCCTTGAATTTATGGAAGAGGAGATTGACCAATCCCGCCTGGAAAACGTAGGTGTTGAAGAACATGAGGAAGATGATGATGACATTGAAGACGATGGCAATGTCCTGGATGCTGCCGGGAGAACAGAGGGACCGTGGGCTCCTGGGCCTCCTGGATCTGCCGCCCCACCTTGCCTGTACTCACATGAAGAGGACGAGCTGCACAGCCGGAGCTGTGCGCAGCAGCTCCGAGAAGGAATTCACAAAGAGGTCGTAGGAAAGCAGCAGGAACTGCAGGAACAGCACCAGGCTGTAGTTGCTGGGCTGGAGCATCCTCCTTCCTGGGGCTTGGAGCCCTCAGCCCCAGCATTCCCAACGGATCATGGCGCTGAGGGAGCTCAGCAGGGCCTCTCCCGACGTCCCAAACCTGGAGGGGGAAGACGGGGATTGGGATGGATGCCATAAATCAGGGAAACCCAATGAGCTGTGTCCTCTCTCTCCTCTGGTGTCTTCCTTCCCCTTGAAATCCACCCCCATCCCCATGTGAGGAAATCCAGGGATGAGGGAGACGTGCAGTCCCAAGAAGCAGTGTCCAAGCAGGTTATTTCTGGCTGTTCTCAGCTCCATGGGCAGTTCTGAGCAGGTTTGGGCATGTTCCACTCTGGGCACAGGGAGAGGAGTGAGGAGAGACAGACGGGAAGTTTTGGACACCTGAGCAGGTACGGTCCTTGTGGGACACATATCCCACAGGGGGAACAGCCCCCTCAGGGATCATCCTGGCTGCAGAGGGACGGAGGGGACAGGGATCCCCCGTGTCCTGGCAGGAAAAGGGCTGTGCTGGGAGCTGAATTCCCTGAGGGGGAGACATGGTGACAGACGGGGGTGAAGGGGCTGGAAAGGGACGGAAAGTGGCTGGAAATGAGGGGGAAGAAAGGCTGGACATGGGAGCGAGAAACTGATGGACACGAGGGGGGAAAGAGTTGGATATGGGGATTAAGAAATCACTCTCTGCCCCTCCAGATCCGCGTCACTCCGCCCCTCCTCACAGCCACCACCGCGGATCCCCTACGCCCCCTCTCGCCGCCCTCTCCCCCCGTTCTTGGCCCCCTCCCCTCTCCGGGGTCCGCCCCCCGACACGCCCAAAGCCCTCTGGGTGCGGAGGTCCCGGTGCCGGGGGTGCCGCCGGGTCCCCGCCGTGCCCCCGCCCCGGGCGCTCACCCGCCGCCGCCATCTTGGTCCCCATGGAAACGGCCGCCAGAGCCGGAAGTGGAGCCGGAAGTGGCGGCTGAAGGCCCCGCGGGGCCGCTCTGGCCGCCGCGCCTCTCTGTGGCGCCGCATTGGGGCGGGCGGGGAAACCATAGAGATGAGCGGGCAGAGCGGCGCCCGCCAAGATGGCGGCGCCCAGTGAGGAGGAGGGGGCGGTGGGGCGCAGGTACAGCCCCGGGGCTGGGAGCGCTGGTGGGCGGCTCCGGGGCTGGAGGGGCTGAGGGACCTCGTGGTCTGGGCTTTGGGTGGTGTCAGGGCCGGGCGTTTTGGTCCAGGTCCAGGTTTGGGCGGGGCTGTGGAGCCACGTGTTCCCAGATTTCGGGGAGCCGTGGCACCGAGTGTGCCAGATTTGGGAAATCCGTGAGTCTCTGTGTCCCGGAGATATCACAGATTTTGGGGAACCATAGGGCCGTGTGTCTCCACCCCTTTCCTGCCTCTATGTCCTGTGAGGCAGCTGATTTGAGGGTGTCGGGACAGCCCCGGTCCCCAGAGGGGACAGAAATAGCCAATTCTGGGGGCACATGCAAATCGCATAGAAATGAGAGCGATGGGGTTCCTGCCAAGGGGACCATGACAGCTGACACCAGGAGCTCCTCACTGCCATTCCCGGGGTGCTGTGCCCTGCTCTGCATGTCCTGTTCCATCCCTGGCCTCCTTCCCAGTCCAGGGCACAGCTGGACTGTGATCACCCCCTCAGGGTTCCCAGTTCCCCTTTCCACGGTTTCTCCTGGTGATGTTGGAGAGCCCCAAAAGGCACCTCAATCATCCCCAGGCGCCACCATCCTGGATCCATCCCTGCCACCATAACCAGGCTGGGAAGCTGCTGGGCCACCATCCGTGGCTGGGAGGCAGCTCCATTGCCGTCACCTTCCCCAGGCTGTCAAACAGCTGTCCCCCACACCCTTCGGGACTCCCAGTTCCCCTTTCCGTGGCTCCTCCCTGGGACCGCATCCGGAGCCTGAGCCGGCTCCTCACTCGCCCACAGGTGCCACCAGCGCTCCGCGGCCATGCTGGACGTGCCCTTCTTGCCCTTCTGTGCCTTCCTGGGAACGCTGGGATTGCTCTGCGTGGCCATGGTGGGCTCCTGGTGCCAGCACTGGCGCGGGGGCTTTTCCCTGGACGGCAGCTCCCGGACATTCAACTGGCACCCGGTGCTGATGGTGACGGGATTGGTGGTGCTCTACGGCACAGGTGAGCAAAGGGAGCGCGGGGATCCCGCCACAGCTCCTTCCTGACCTTGTTCTCCCCCTCACAGCTGCCCTGGTTTACCGCATTCCCTACACATGGAGTGGCCCCAAGCTTCCCTGGAAGGTGCTGCACGGCAGCTTGGCTTTGGGGGCGTTCATCCTGACCGTGCTGGGGCTGTCGGCCGTGTTCTGCTTCCACAACTCCCAAGGGACGCCCAACATGTACTCGCTGCACAGCTGGATGGGGCTGGGAACTGTCCTGCTCTTCTCCTGCCAGGTGGGAATCCCTCCTGGATGTCCCCCATCCCTCCAGCATCCCGAGTTTTCCACCCTCACCTTTTCTTCCCACAGTGGGTGGCGGGTTTTGGAGCATTCCTGCTTCCCTGGGCTCCCACCTGGCTGCGGGCACTCTACAAGCCCATCCACGTTTTCTTCGGCTCCACCATCCTCTTGTTGTCCGTGGCTTCCTGTGTGTCAGGAATCAACGAGAAGCTTTTCTTCAGCCTGTGAGAGTCAGAGCTGGGGGGTGGCTTGGGAAGATCCCTCACAGGGATAGGGGGGGCTCAGGATGTGGATTGGGGCTGGATTTGGGAGTGACCAGCGCAGAGCAAAGGGAACTGAGCACTTCCTCAGGTGTGTGGCTCCCTGCACAGTTCCCTGCAAGGTTTGGGAGGGGTTTCAGGAATATCCAGAACATTCCCAGCCTCTGTTTCTCTGCTCCAGGAAGAACGGGACAATGCAGTACAAGCTCCTGCCGGCTGAGGCTGTGTTTGCCAACACCCTGGGACTCCTCATCCTCATTTTTGGAGTGCTGGTGGTGGCTGCCCTGGCCAGGCCCAGCTGGAAGCGCCCAGATTCCGACTCCCCAGATTCCCGGCAGGTACAGGACACGCTGGGTGGATTTGGGAAGCCCCAGCACAGTTCCAAGGGTGGGGGAAGGATTGAGGGATCCCGGCTCATCCCTGTCTCTCCCACAGCCCCTGCTCTCTGCCGAGCGTTGATCCCAGGGATCTCCCATCACTCCCAAGCTGCATCCATGTGCCTCCACGTGCCAGCTCCTGCCTGGATCCCCGGCCATGCCAAACCCCAGTGCTTGCCGGTGCCATCCCTCAATGCCACAGCTGGAGCTGCTGCAGCCTCGCTGGAACAAAGAGGAACATCCCTATCATTCCCACTCCAGAGGATCCGGCTCAGGGTGGAGCCACTCAGGGACCTCATAGACATGGAATAAAACATTGGCTTCTGCAGGGTTCCAGCACTCAAATCCCTGGGGACAAGAGAGGGCCTGGGAGCTGGGTTGGGAGAGGTGGGAGCTTGGGAGTAGGCCCTTGCCAAGCCAAGCTGTCCCTTCCAAGGGCTTGTCCTCGCTGGCTCCCTGGAGACATGGGCTGTCCCCACTTCTCCTTTGCGCCCCTTTTCCGAGAATCACCCCCAGACCCCGTGCCCAGAGCCATGTGAGCTCTGTGGTTTCCCCTCCACACATTGGGTTTCCTTCCTCTCCCAGTCACAGGATCCCTGTTCCCATCTTCCTTCCCAGCCTGGAGCAATGGGGGGCACACCCACACCCCCAGATTCCACCATCCCACCCCTCCAAGCTAGCATGGGGGACACAGAGGGTTACTGGGGGCCACGTCCTAACGTTTATTGGGAAAGACATCCCTGAAGGAACAGAGGTGGTTATTGGGATACACCTCCCTGTCACATGGGGGGGACACAAGGGTTTATTGGGATGCACGTCTCTATCACTACAAGGGAACACAGATTTTTGGGGATACACATCCCTGTTATTACTGGCGGGTGCCCAGGGGCTCCCGCAGCCCCTGCAGCACTGCTCCCAGCACTGCTGCCACTGCCACAGCCCCGGGATCAGGCTGCTCCAGCCGGGATGAATGGACGTAGCTGGCTCTGCCCGCCCCAGCCTCCATGTGCCTGGTGGCCTCGGCCGCCGCCTCTGCACTCTGCCAGGGAAAACAGGGTGTTTTCCAGGGTAACAGCAGGGGTTTCCATCCAATTTTCCCACCATCCCAGCTCCCAGCTCTCCATACCTGGACAGCTGCCGCCAGCACTTGGAGCGGGTCGGCACCAGGATTGCGCAGAGAGCGCAGAGCCTGTGCTGCTGCAAACAGCGAATCCAGCTGCAAAAAATGGGAATTAGTCTGGGAGCCAGGGCTGAGGCCAGGTGGGAACTCCTTCACATCCTCCTGGAAGTCTTCCTGGCTCCTGGGCTCTCCCAGCACTCACCATTGTCCGGTCTCCTGGCGCGGCTCCTCCGTACCTGTGTGGGATGCAGGGAAATTCAGGGGGGATTGGGATTCCCAGGGGGCACAGGGATTCCACAGCCCCCGGCACTGACCTCTGCATGGCCTCAATCCCGGCGTCCATGGCATCAGCCCACGCCGGGGAACCGTTGTTGCCACGCAGGCTCCTGGCAGCCGCCGTCAGGAAGAGCCCGTAGAGCTTTGGGAATACCATCAATACCATGCTGGAAACACGGCCAGGTGTGTTCCCCCATTCCCATTTCCATTCCCATTCCCACTCACCACTCCAGAGGAGCCTCCCATCTGCTCCAGCACCACATCAGCCAGGGCAGAGAGCAGCTGGGCAGGGGCAGCCGGAGGCGGCCGGGAGCGCATCCATTCCTGGATGGCTGTGGGAATGGAAGGGACAACGGGATGGGGTTGGCCCTGCAGTTCCCCGTCCCTCGTGGGAACCAGTAGGGACAGCCCTCAATTCCATAGGGAAGCTCCCACTGGATGCAGAGATATTCCAGGATACAATTATAGGAAGGGACACCCCAGGTTTCCTTACTCCCAAGAAGGAAGACCTGGGGAACTCCCCGCTCCTGGGAGGTGCCATTGGGGTGGCATTCCCCACAATTCCCTGGATAACAGCCCCCACACCCACCTTGGGCCGCCTGGGCGTGGGTGTGGCCGCAGTCCCCGTCACCTGCTCCCCGATCCAGCTCGTTGAGCTTATCCCGCATACCCAGCAAGGTGCTGCACACCCGCTGCAGGACCCGCTCCACCCGCGCCGTGCTGGGCCCTGCGGAGAGGAGATGCATCCCTGCACATCCTCGAGGGAAACTGAGGCACGGAGGGGTGTGACAAGGGACGGGAGCCCTGTACCAATTCCAGTATCATCCTGCGGCTTCCTGGGTGCCTCTATCGGTGCTGGCACCTCCTCCCTCCGGGTGGTTGCCGGTCCCGCGAGAATGTTGGGCCACGCCACAGCCATGGTCTTGGCATCTGGAGAAGCCAGAGGTGTGCGGTGGCTCAGGGTCCCATTGGATCCTCACTGGCGCACCCAGCAGCCAGGAATTCCACGCCCAGACATCCCCTGACCTTGTGTCCCATCACTCAGTATGTGGAAACCTCTGTGCCCCAATCCCAGGCCACATTCCCACCAGGAACTCACCGATCAACTTGACTAGCTCCTCATCCACCAGCATGATGGTGAGGGAGACTCCAGCCATTTCCATTGATGTCATGAAGGTTCCCACCATGGCCCGGGTGATGCGGATCCCTCTGTTCTCTGCGGGATTTGGGATGGAGACCGGGTCATTCCAGAGCGGCTGGAGCCAGGGACTGGGATCCCAGGCTCCCCTCTGCACTCACCCAGGCAGCGCACAGCAGCTCCAGCCACAATTCCCAGCTCCAGGCAGGACAATCCACCCAGGTTGTTCACCACGAGCAGCACAGAGGATCCTGCAGGATGGGGGGCAAGATGAGACTGGGATCCAGGGCATTTGGAGGAACACAGAGGATCCTGTGGAGCTCACCAGGGGTCAGGGACAGGTGGGAAGCATTGGATGGATCCGTCATGTGCTTCAGCATCGTCTCCACAGCCTTATCTGCTGGCAGCATCTGGAGGGGACACGGAGGAGGGGAAGAGCAGAGTGGGGAGGTCTGGGAATAGGGGGATCTGGGAATGGGGAGGAAGCGGCAGAATTTCCTTCTCACTTTCATCCTGCGCACTCCAGCCTCGCCGTGGATCCCTACGGAGATGGGGCCGTGTCATATCCCAGCCCTGGTGACACCTGCCGGGGGGGGGGCAGGGACATTCGGACCCTCCAGGGACCCTAGAGGGACACCAAGGGGCCGCTTCTCACCCAGCCCCAGCTCCATCTCGTCCTCAGCCAGCTGGAACGAGAGCTTGGATCCTGGGATACTGCAGGGAGATAGGCTGAGACCCAGGGTACCTGTCCAGGTGGGAATGTTCTGTTAAAACTGGGGGGATTTTTGGGATTCAGGGGCTGGGGGACACAGGACAGCACTCCCATGGGATGACACAACGCACCCATGACTTTGGCAGCCGCCGTCACCTTCTTCTCGATCTCATCCAAGCTCGCTCCCGCCTCGGCCAGAGCTCCTGCCACCTGTCCCGGGCAGAGCGAGTGAGCGACCCCCCGGAATTCCCCAAATCCCCATGAAGGGTCCCAGCAGAACCTTGTGGAGGAGGATGGTGCCACAGATCCCGCGGCGCCCGGCTTTCCCCGGCGTGGCGAAGGCGCAGTCGTCGCCCACCACCACCATGCGCACGTCGGCCCCCTCAGCCTGCGCCCGCTCCAGGGCCATCCCGAAATTCAGCCGGTCCCCGGTGTAGTTCATCACGATCAGGAGGATCCCAGCTGCAGGATTGATGTCCAGTCAACAGGAATGATGCAGCACTGGAGGGAAGAACCCCAAAATTCCACCTCGGTGTGTTCCCAACCTGCTCCGGCCTGTGCCACGGCCCGGATGGCCGCCAGGATACTGCCCACGGACGGGGATGCGAACATGGCTCCGGCCACCACTCCGGTCAGCATTCCCTTCCCCACGTAGCCTGTGCAGAGGGAAGGGGGCTCGTCACCGTGTCCGTGGGTGGGGGGTAGAGGTGGGACACGGGGGTCTCACCTGCGTGGGCGGGCTCGTGGCCGGAGCCCCCCCCGGACAGCAGGGCCACACGGCCACGGATGGCCTGCAGGTCATGCCGAAGGACCACCCGGTGTCCCTGGAGCAGCCGGAGCCCGGAATTGCAGGCCACCAGCCCGGCCAGAGCGTCATCGGCACAGCCAGAAACCGTTGTCACCAGTTTTTTGGGGACCTGTGGGGAAAATGGGGAGCAGTGGCATGGGAAAAGGAGGAATGCCAACCCCACAGGAATGCCAACCTGCTCCGGGCTCACCTCCATGGGAGCGGAGTGCAGCACTCGGATCCGAAGATGGAATCTGTCTGTAAAAAGGGCAAGGTTCAGTCTGAAATGGACAGCAGTCCGGAGTGTGGGGGCTGGGAAGGGGGCGGGATGGGATGGTGTCTGGTGTGATGGTGATGCTATGGGGAGTGTCTGGTGAGAATGGGGCTGGCATTGGAGTTGTCCCCAGACGGGGACACCTCCCCAGGCAGGGAGCTCCTTTTGCGATGAGGCGCCAGGATGGGATAACCGCTAAACAGGGACCCTTTTTTGGGATGAGAGAGGACAGTGACAGCTCTCCCCTCAAAGACGGGCCACCTTTTGAGGTGGGAAATCAGGACGGGACCACCGCCAAACAGAGACCCCTTTTTTTTTTGTGATGGGGGGACTCCCACGTTCAGGGATCTCCTCTCAGTGCAGGCCCGGGCTGGATCCACACTCCCCCCTCACAGCGGGGACCCCTACCCCAGGTTTCGGGGGGCACAGAGCTGCGCCCTCCCATGCGGGGCCCGCCCTTGGGGACACGGCGTGGGACCAGGGTGGGATCAGCGCGGGTCCCGCGGGTTTCGGGGGAGACCCCTCCGCGCATCCCCCCTCCACACCTGCCCTCGGCGGGGTCCTCCAGCCGCCCTTCTCGGCTGCTCCTCACGGTCCTCCCAGCGCGCTGCAGCACCTCCTCTCGGCTGCTCCCCGCGGTCCTCCAGGGCGGCTGGAGCGCCTCCTCTCGTCTGCTCCCCGCGGTCCTCCAAGGCGGCTGGAGCGGCTCCTCTCGTCTGCTCCCCGCGGCCCGCCGGCGGGCTAGAGCGGCCCTGTGCGCCCACTTCCCGGAAGCGGCGGCGGCGGCGGAGAGGCCGCGCTCTCCGTTCCCCCCCGGTTCCCCCCGCGCCCCCCGGGACCTCCCGGTTCCCCCCAGCATGTCCTACAACTACGTGGTGACGGCGCAGAAGCCGACGGCCGTCAATGGCTGCGTCACCGGTACCGCGGGGCGGGCGGCGACGGGAGCGCCGTGTTGAGGGCCGCGTGGGAGGGCGGTTGGGGGGTACCGGGGGGCACGGGGGGATGGAGGTGTTGGGGGCGATGG